GCCGGCCTGGGCGCGCCCTGAGCGCAGAGCGGGCAGGGCAGGAGGGGAGGCCGCGGGCTGCAGCGGCGAGGACACCCGTCTCGGACTCATCTCCGAACGGGACACCGGACCGGCTTGGCGCGTGGGGTGCCGAGCAGCACAGACGGCTCCTCGCTGGCCAGCAGCCTTCCCTGCCGTCCAGAAACGGGGCCGCCACTGGGCGGCACAGAGACATCTCGGCTCGGGCGGAAAAAACAGGGAGGGCGAGGGCTCGAGGGCCTCAGAGCGCAGCTCCGGACTCCCCGGAGCGCCCCGGAGGCTGAGGGTGCCTTTCCAGAGCACCCCAGGGTGGGAGGCGTCCCTGCAGCGGGCTAGTGGTCTCTCTGGCCCCCGCTTTCAGTCGTGACACCCTCCAAAATGTCTTCACGGTCATGAACCCCACGCTCACGGGCTGCAGAGAGCCACTTTGGTCATGAGGGCGAGGGGCCCACGTCCTGGCTGCCCAGCCCCCCACTCCTGGCGGAACTCAGCACCCCTCAGCTCGGAAGCACCAGGTCGCAGAGGGCCCTGGGCTGCCCCAGGGGCGCGGGCCAGGGACAGAGAAGGGGCCGCGTGCCTGTCGGTGCCCGTAGAGGGGACATCCACGCAGCGCTGGGGGAGACCGGCAGAGGAGGACCTGAGGGAGTAACAGCTGAAGTTGGGGTTCAGAAAGCAGGCGCACTGGCTCTCGGGCACGGGTCTCTGGGGTTCCTTTAAAAACGATGCTCAGAGGTTACTTCCCCAGGCCCCTACCTCCCCACAGGAGTTTAGCTGCGAGAGAATGCTTTCCGTCGGGTCACTGCTGCACCCCAACATCCGCAGCGGCACCCGGAGTCACAGCTCCGGGGCATGGACGAGCCCGAGCTGGCTGGCTGCTGGAGCTGCTCGGAAGCCGGGCCTGGGGCGGGCGTGACGCGCCACCACGGTCACTCACCTGCGCGACACCCCTGCGCTCGTCAGAGGGCTGGCGCAGACCCCAGCGGGC